GGATTTGCTCAAACAGAACCAATGAGATTATGGTGTGATAACCAAGCAGCTATCCATATTGCAAATAATCCTGTTTTTCATGAAAGAACAAAGCATATCGAAGTTGATTGTCACTTTACTCGAGAAAAGGTGGAAGATGGTACAATTTGCACTCCACACATCAAAACAGGAAATCAAGTGGCAGATGTGTTTACCAAGGCTCTACCGGGGACACGTATCAATTCCATCTGTACCAAGCTGGGCATGATTAATATCTATGCTCCAGCTTGAGGGGGAGTGTTAGAATATACATATTTAATGTTAGAATATACATATTTAATAGTCAATATATTCTATGTATATATTTGGTAGCTAATATATTCTCTGCGATAGACTAAATATTCTATGTAAATCTGGCAGATTTAGTTTCCTTTTGTATTCTCTAGCCTGTATGTATATATACTGGCTCTACCCAATGAATAAGAGTTGTGATTTCATTCCATCTTTTATCCCTATTACTCAGTTTACAGGATCTAATACGCTGGTCAAAGGACATACACTAATATCTTTCAAAAGAAAATCTAACATCGTAGCTAGGCTCTTGCAGTTTTATCTTATCTCGACTAATACTATTTTACTCCATCAAAAGTCACATACAACTTACCCAACTTTTCGGGTTTAAGCCTTTGAGTTGCTAATGACTCATAACAAAAGAATAGCTTGTGGTGCCAAACTCTATATACTCTTTATTTCCACCAATAAACTTTTACTCAAAGAGCATACTAGTTCCCAACATGAGCTTACTAGGACACTCTCTACACATATTCGTACAAAATAGCTTTAAGAGAGCTTGATGGTACTATACTCTAATTCGATTGAAATGATCACACTCTAGATCACAATGTATTGGAACACACTTCACAAATCTCTATATTGTAGTGTACAACAGGTTCTAAGACTCGTGATCTACCAGAAAGTAGCTTAATCTAGTCTTTCCACTAATCTCTTGTAATCTAACTTCAAAGAGCGAGATACTACTAAAAACTTTTGATTCACGTATATAGACTTTAATGGCAGGTCCTTCCAAAGAATTTTAAGCGGTGAGACTCAATATCTTATTGTAACCAAATAATAATAATAATCATAAATAATGATATGAGGGCAACCCTGGTAAAAAGAATGTACAACACTTTTTAAATCTTAGTGCCAAAAGCTGAGAATACTCTGAAGATCTCTTTGAGAAATTTTAAAACTCAAACTTTCTCCTGACACATACTTTTGAGAAAATAGCTAAATACTATACTACTATATCACTTAAAAAATTTACTTATTTGACTTTTAGTAAAATCACTGCCATTTGATTAATCATTAATCACTAAACGCATTAAATGATTAATCAACACATTTTAAAACTTATTTTAAAACAAGCATTTACAACCTAAAGACAAAACATAATCTGACCATTGATCATATTAAAGCAGTGTCTGACTACCGGTATCTAGTATTCGAATCATCAAATTGATGAGGGGCCCTCCCACCAACTCAAGATTCCAAACACGAAATACCGCCATTCAACACTCCAGAAAATCATGCAGCTTATGAAACTATTGATAAAGATTCGAATCCAGTATTTAAGAACTTTCGAAATCCAAGGTGGAGCTTCAACATTTTACACAAAATTAAGCTAAAACTTATAACTCCTTTAATTTTCTCTTTCGTATAAAATACAATAAGATACTGTAAATAGCATGGGCATTTTAAAAAAAATCAATTAATAAATAAATAAAAATACATAACAAACTAATTTGTATGCTTATGGAAAAAAATGCTTATGAAAATTCTTCATCTCATGTAAACTTAATTACATGTGATGCTTTAAAAAATATCAGAGAAACTTTTATAATTATTATTCTTAATTTTTTTTATATAACTATAAAGACTTAGACCATGAATAAACTACAAGTTATATAATAAAAGACAGCTGGAACAGTACTGGTTGTGACTTAATTCAAGTACTTAATCATGAGAAAATAAAGACTATATGACCCTTTTTTTTTATATAAATTAACTCGAATTTTAATCATGAGCAACCTCCGAAAAATATTTGCTATGAAAGATCAACATAGCCTAAAATGGAAAGCTGTGAATATGTAATTATAAGAGGTGTATGACTAGAATGGTGGTGTCTTTCAATAACAACCCTAAGTACTCCCGTAATGAAATAGAAGACCTAACTCAATAAATAGGCGCTCAAATAAAATTTAATCTGAATAACTCGTAATAACACAAAAGTTTTACGAGTTGGGCACATACTACATCTACTTGACTTTTCTATCTAACTAATGCCAACAACACTCAAGCATACTTTCACGTGGATAACTTTTAGCATAAATAAATACTTACTTGGAAGATGATGAGCACGTGTACGGTGACAAATGAAGTTACGGGACAACCTGAGCTCTGATACAAAACTTGTAACGCCCCTCTCAGGGTTAAAGGAATCGTTACACTAACTTACTACTTTTAAAAAAATAACTGTAATTAACGGCCGTCTATTTAAGTAAATAACCCTGATAAAATCTCAAATATAACTAAAATATAACTCTTGATAAAAACTCAATAAAAATAGTTATCATCAGCAAATGTGATAACCACCTGGATCCAGGAATTTATTTAAACATCAAATCCTCAAATAAAATAAATAATAATAATCTCTTTATTATAACACTAAAATACTGAAACAAAATAATATCTAACAAAAAGTCGCCAAGGTCGTTCCCGTTAACTCATCTTGGCACACGTTCCACTCCCTCATCGTCTTCCTAGGCCTTGGCCTTACCCTTAGTATCTGTACATGCGAAGAAGAAGAAAAAACTGATAAGCTTTACGCTTAGTAAGTCACTATGGATCCACAAAAATATCTAGAAGTCTATGCCAATTTATCAATAGATAAATTTAGGCTATAAGCATGCACTGAACAAATAACTAACACATAACTTCTCAAATACATTCTGAGTGAGATCTCAAAAGGATTATATTTTCTAAAATAGTTTCTCAAAACTGCTGGAGAGATCTCAAAATTTCTTCTCAAAACATCTCCGTACAACTTTCTAAAAGAGATCTCAAAAACGTCTTTCTGTAAAACTTTCTGAAAGAGATCTCAAAAACAACTTTCTGTAAAACTTTTGAAAGAGATCTCAAAAACAACTTTCTGTAAAACTTTTGAAAGAGATCTCATTAAACTTTCTGTAAACTCTTTGTGGCTAATTTTAACTGTGGGCCCGAGATATGTACTCAAAGGCGCCAATCCGACAGCTCAGGGGAGCGACCCGCTAAACATATCGGACTATCTGAAACTGTAAACTGCTAATCTGAGAGAACTTGTTCCCGAGTACATATCACCTGATCTTTCACTTTAAATATTAGTTCTTTTTATGGTGACGTTTGATTAAAAACATCATTAAATCTGAAAACTAAAGTACTGACAAAATCTTGACTATGCCAGATAATAAACACAACTTAATACAGCAAATAAAATAACTCAGCAAATAATTCACCAGGTTCACATAATATCACATAGACTAAAATCATCTATTAAAAATCAACCAGACTTCTTTCTTTGATTTGGTTGAACAAACATGTACAGGTGGTAGTGAACTTACCTGATAGAAGCTGAACTCAAACTACTCAAACAAGTGTGGCACCTTGATAACATCTTCCGGTAAAGCTCTTCCTTAATAATCTTTAATTAAATATAATTATATAGTAAGAATCTGCTAAGTAGGAAACATGGACATATCGCTGGTGTTTTAATTAGTTACTAAAAATCTTTATGCTGCAGCTCACTAAAATTAAGAGTCAAATACCTACTTAACTAAAATACTTTGCCAGAACAGCCACCCTATCACCATTTTAAATTTCAAAAAAAATAAGTCAACTCTGTTTTAGTTAAAAGAATAGATGTTCGTGAACTAAACGGAGGAGCTTATAGTCTAAATCTTAGTCTGAGAACCAGTTCCCAAGAGTCCCGATTTAAAACTTTTCCAAAATACATTTGTGAAACTTTCCTAAATAAGGTCTTTATATTAGGCGAAAGTGTACTGCCCAGATTTTGAATGGAACCTCATGATAGGAACTGAAGCCAATAGTATTTGACATGCGACTCAATTCATTAAAAGTTAAAGTTTTCAAAATGACCGATATGATAATATGAAAATATCCAGGTAGTTAATAGGAAGAGATATTTGTCCCTAGTATGACTAGAAGTCCTTAAGTTTCTCAAAATATGACCTCCCAGTTTTATTTCTTAATTTATGTTACCCGAATTGTAGATCATAACCATCCCATCCGCTGAATTTTTTTTTATTCCATCGCTACCCTTCAGTCAACCTACGGTCAGCGCATATTTATACTAATTCTATTTAAGAATTTATTTCACGATCTTCTAAATTAGGTAACCGTTTTTCATTCCGATTCCCTGTCGTCTTTAACCTTCCTTCTCTTCAGCTTGTTTCGATGAATTCCAAATAATTCTTCGCTTGTTCTATTCGTTCTTCCTGTTTAGGAGATTATGGAAATCATTTATTCTGCAAATCCTTCTCCAACGATACATGTCTTGATGAACGTAGATGGCCAGTGGTTGTCCGACATTGAATTTCAGAGCTCAACCTCCATCCCTGTTGATATTCCTTTCTGCTGCAAGTGGATTGAATTTTGTGGAATTGTATACAATTCGTTGGGCCTAAGAGATCGTGATCGTGTTATACGTATTTCATATGTGTTTCAAGCATGTCCTCCACCGCTTATCATTAATGACGATTCCAGCTTCAGTTTTTATCTTCAGATGAAAAGCATTCAATCGGACTTGAACCAACTTCCTCTTTGTGTAGAGTTTCTTCCACCGTTTCAAGGTTAGTAAAATATTTCTCCCCTGGTTTTATCTTTCAGTTGCAATTTAACTATATGAATTTAGTTTTCAAATTATCTGTATTATTTTTAATTTTTTTATTTTGATTTCAAAGGATGTACTGAAACTGTGTCAAACACGATTAATTACTCTTTTTCGGACGATGAAGTTTTGGATGGTTTTGAGGATTCTGAAATATTAGCAGCAGCAGGCCAACAAACAATGCACTGTAGTGATGTTTTGGAGGATTCTGATTTCAGCCCTTTGTGTTTTGATGAAGATGTTATGAATGATGACTTCACATCTTCGGTTGAGGTTCCTCTGTGTTCTTCTGTTCCCCACTTTGACCCCACCCGTCTTGCTATGGATGCAATATATGAAAGCAAGAAGGAGTTTAGTTTTAACTTGAAGATGTATGCAATAACTAATTTTTTCCAATACCGAACAAAGTCATCTTCTCCTAAGGTGTTACATGTTATTTGTGTGGATCCTGATTGTCTGTGGGCTGTTCGTGGAGTTCGCTTGGATGAAAGTGGCTTGTTTCAAGTGCGTAGGTTAGTGATTTCTTTTTTTTTTTTGGTTATGTATTTGTTTTAGTTATCTTCTCCTAAGTTGTTTGCTTACTGTTTACATTACATTATTTAATGCAGTGTTATTGAAGTTCTAAACTGCAGCTAATGAAAATATTTAGACCTTATATGTTGTTGTTTTTACTTGAACATCCATGTGAAGTTGCATATTTTTGATGAAGTTTGTTGTGACTATTTGCATTAAATTATACACTGCAATTACTCAATAAATTATATCATTTTTATATTTCTATTTCTGTATTAAAATTGTTTAGTTATGTTTTTTTTTTACTTTGCCAGGCTTTTGAAGTTCCTTATTTTCGTTGTAGTTAGTTGTCATTATTTGGACAAAATTTATGTATCTCAATAAATGCGTCATTACATGCTGTTAATGCCATCTGTACTTGTTCATTTTCAGATTTGATAACGACCATACCTGTCCCATTGATATTAGACAAGCTAATAGTCGCCAGGCTTCTTCTTCTCTTATTGCTGAACTGATCAAGCATGAATTTGATGACTTGTCCAAAAGAGCTTACACACCTCATTCAATCATGAGAGATATGAAAAGATTGCATGGAATTGTCATGTCATATAAAAAGGCTTGGGTTGCAAGGGAAATTGCATTGAAATTGGCTCGGGGATCTGAGAAGGAGTCATACAGTAGACTTCCTTCTTTGTGCTACATGCTTGATAAAGCAAATCCAGATTCGGTTGTTAGATATTCTTGTAATGAAACTGGAGAATTTCAGAACTTTTTTATGTCTCTTGGTCCATGGAGACGTGGATGGGAGAAGTGCATTCCTGTTATTGTTGTTGATGGATCATTTTTGAAATCGTATTACAAGGGAACACTGCTCACGGCCTGCACACAAGATGCTAACAAGCAGATTTTTCCACTTGCATTTGCTATTTGCAGTGTTGAAAATACCGTTAACTGGACTTGGTTTTTCAACATGTTGAAGAATTGTCTCAACCATAGAAATGGTTTGTATATTGTGTCTGATCGGCATGAAGGAATTATAAATGCCGTTCATTCTGTCTTTCCATATGCGGAACATGGATATTGTGTTTATCACATATTAGGCAATATAAAATCCAAGTTTAAAGGTACTGCAAAGGTGTTGTCTTGGAAATTCTTACAAGCAGCGAGAGCGGGTTCTGTTTATGAATGTGAAGAGTATCTTTCCAGGCTTGATTATGATGACCCGCGTATACGTACGTACTTGCAAAAGATTGGTAATGAGAAGTGGTCTCGTGCATATGCTAGCCGCAACCGTTATTCTGTGATGATGTCTAACAATGCGGAGTCTTTGAATGCTGTTTTTGTCACGGCTCGTGAGTATCCCATCTGCAAGTTGATTGAGTTTATAGTACGCACAATGCAAACATGGTTCTGTGAACGCAGAGAAGAAGCTGCATCAAACAGATCTCTACTCTCTGCTTACTTTGAAGCGCAATTACGTCTATCACAATTAAATGCTGCATTAATGCAGGTACTTTACTGCATTCATACTGTACTGCATTTTGGCTTTTTGTTTTTGTATGAAATGATGAGGTTCTGCTTTATGTTACCAGTTTTATGTTTATTTTTTATTTTTTTGTAGGTCAAGCCATCATGTATCTTTGAATTTGAGGTCTTTGATGCGAAAGGAAGATCATTTGTTGTCAATTTAAGAGAAGGGACTTGTACATGCCGTGAATTTGAACTTGATGGCTTCATATGTGTTCATGCCGTTGCTGCAATCCGTTCTCGTCCGGGACTTTCTGCTTATGACTACATTCCTGAATATTATACTACACAGAAATGGTTTTCAGCTTACGAGGGCATCATTCATCCCATCGGTAGTTACGATTGTTGGGTTGTTCCCCATGACGTATCTCAAATCATTTGCAGCCCTCCATCTTGTTCTAAGAGACCTCCTGGAAGACCCAAGAAGCGACGTATTCCATCTACCGGTGAACATGTGCGTCAACAAAAGTGTACACGTTGCTCAATGGTTGGTCACAATAGGAAGACATGCCGAAACCCCATTTCTCGCACTCGCTCCTAATGTTGAATCTGTTTTACTTGTTTAGTTTTACTCCTAATGTTGAATATGTTTTACTTGTTTAGTTTTACTCTTGAGTTACGCTTTACACTTTTCCCACTTCTTCACAATTGTATTCAGGTGAGAAGTGATACAGATGTTCTGCTACTAATTTCTATCTTTGAATAAAGTTTGTAGTCACGGATTGCAGTAATACATGCAGTTTGTTTATGCATTGTTGACCATTAATGCGAATGTTAACTCTCACTTAGGTACTTATGTATTCAATCATAATTTTACAAGTGTTTACTTAGATTGATATTTCAATCCCTGTGAACATGTACACTGACACAAATGTACATGTTCCTTAATGGTTGTTCATAATAGCAACACATGTACAAACCTCATTCCTCAATTGTTGTTTTCCCCACTTCTTCACATTTTCCTTCTTTTTACAAGTCACTCATATGTTACTTTATTCATTTGTGTTGTTGAGAAAGTATAAACATTTTATAAACAAAAATACATATTATTGAAACGTAGTATTGAAATATACATTGCTTGTCTTTTTCATTCACATAAATGAGTACCAACATACCGTAATTACGTGCATTGATGGTATGTTGTGCTGTAATGCATTAAATATAGCATTGAATCATATAAAAGCTAATGCTCATCATCATCATCAAACCTGTACTTAGGCATCAATTAATATAAACCATATTTTTCAATGCAAAATATTCAGCACTTCAAAACATCAATATTATGTCCAATCCACCCAAAAGTGCTAAAGTAAATCCATACTGAAGTTTAATCAAAATAAACCATCCTCACAAAAACCAAAATCCACACCCAATAAGTTTCATTAATAGCATTACACATTTGTTTTAAACATTCATTCAACACTGTCCAGATTAACCAGCCCATTGTAATGCAGTATCTCGGCCACCAGCTTCTTCCTATAAGTCCACATGTCCCTAGACGCCACTTCTTGAGGATCTTTCCCCATCATTAGGTACTCTGCCATTTTGAGAACAAATAGCCCACAACTATCCCTGCACATTTGAAAAAATTTACAATGTTAGTTATGTACCAATACACTATATATATTTAAGAAATTCAATGCATTTACCCGTCATTTTGTTGTGGACTGGATTCCATAACCCATCCCACTTTTCCTTCTCCAATTGGCTGTTCACCACGCTCTTCGTACACCCTGCACCAATCCATTAGATGTCCTAAATGATTTTCCAAACATGGTAAGAACTGACTCAATTGTCTGCTTGGGGTTTTAAGCCGGTTATTGGAGTCATAAATCCTAATACGCTTCTCGCCCACATCAAGCACAAGTAGAACCCAGTGATGCCCAATATTCATTGGCATGTACACATGCTCACATTCTGCCCATGGTAGCCCGTAAGGCACATTTGTCCCAAGTATTGATCCCACGACACTTTTGTTGTGTATAGACTCTTCAAGTGTGCTTTCTTTCCTCACAATGAGATCATGGTGTTGTTTCAACAGTGCTGTAAAATAGCAATCTGTTGTTGTGAACTTCTTCTTCAGAGAGTACTCTTGTGCTTTGACCCGCAGGTAGTATAATATGACATCAATGTGCTGTATAAATGAAATCATGATAAGTAGTATTAACACTCAATTTTAACATTGTTTAAAAATTAATAAAGACAATAGATATACTTACTGTGTCTTGTATCCAATTCCCCTGAAACCATATGGCGTAGTACCAGGACTTGCTTGTCAGTCTTCCATCATTCCACAATGGTGTCATGTTTCTCAATTTCAGCATTTCATGTTTTGCATTATACTTCTTCACGCCAGACTTTTCGTGATTTCTTAGTAGCCCCGCATACATGAAATCAATTATAATTTCTTGTAACTTATCACTTGGCTGCTGTTTTGGGTCTAATGTCAGAGGTCCTCTCACTACTACCTTTTTTAGCTCATGTTTTGCGGCATCCTTCTTCCTTCTTTTCCCGTTTCCGGGTCCTGACAAAGACAACCTGTTTGGTGCTTTAGTATCTCTCCTTGGCCTTTTCTCAACGTCTTCAAATGCACCGTCATTCATCTAAATTATAATACAAATTACTTAAAACATAAAACCAGAATACTAGCACTACAATAAATTTGCAGAAGTTTACATGCATTTAATTTCAATTTATTATCAGCATATTATGACAATAATATACCTCAACCCCATCCTTCTTTTGGAGATCATCACATTTCTCACCATTTGGTTGCTCAGTCATCACCACTTCGACTCTCTCTGCTTCAGCACTTTCTACCTAAAGTTTTATACCAATTCATTAAATAATATCACTACAATATAGCAATAGCAAAATAAAAAAAGTGTAACTGCATTTGATTAAAACATACCCCATTCTTCTGGATATCTTCAGAGTTCTGAACGACTGGAACCTCAATGTTCGCTGCATCCACGGCTTCAGTTCTTTCTGATGTATTGTTAACTTTGTTATTAACAGTCATATTTTCCAATATTTCATCCACTGCATTAACCAATGCTTGGGTATTGATTGGTTCTTCAAATCCATCTCCCCAGTCTGTCTGCACTTCAGATGCTGCCATTTCATCCTTTGTTCCATTTCTATCTTTGCTCTCTTCAGCTTTGTCATTACTCTTCTCGTGCTCCGCTTCATGTAGCTCTTCACTTTTCTGTTCTTCATCGTCTTCACTTCCATTGTTGAACTCTGGTGCAAGTTCAAATGATGGAATGTCCACATCTCTGACTTCTTTTCTTTTCCTGATCAAGGGAAACCTTCTGCTTATAGCAACCTTTCCATTTTTTGCATTCACCAACAGCTTTTTAATCATGCTTGCATGCTTCACTTGCAATTCACAGAGTTTGGTAACTGCCCTCTCAAGTTTCTCAATTCTTTCACCCTGTGCTCTCACTTCTCTTAAAATATTCTTGATTCCCCTTTGTCTTATTTTGTTCCCTTCGCTATCTTCACCAGATGGGTCTTCATTTTCATCAACATCATCCTTTTTGTTTTTTCTACTCTTTACTCTCCCCTTCCGAACTTTACAACTACCATTTGTAGCCTTTCGTCTTGCTTTCTTGACTGGCTGTGAAGAAGCTTCTTCACTGCTTATTTTCTCCAAAGCATGTGCAACACATGTCTCTTCTAACTCCTCCTCTGTTGGTTTCATCTCTTCCCATTGAAACTGCAAATTCAAGATTTTCATTACAATTAATGACCATACATCATAATCACCAAAATGCATTAAACATAATCAATATTTATCACAACCATTATAAAATACATATGAATATAAATTTTACCTCTGGATTATTGAAAATAATCTCTGCAAGAACCACAGATGATGGCTTTGACGTGACAGACCAATTCAATGTCCTTGGCCAGTAAGTTTCGGGCCTTTTCAAGCACACTCTCGCTCTGTTCAGTTCAGGAAAAGTCTCAAAACCCCATATTTGTAGGGCAAATACATATCCAGGGAATGTCACCCTAGTGCTCTTTCCCTCCCCCAATATTGCTGCACACTTCGGAACCTTATCAACCAAATCAGACCACACGATATCACCCCATGGAAACTTATTGAATGCATCAAGGTCATCTACCAGGTTGATGTAAGTTGTAGGCACTTTGAGTGATTTCTGGTTACCTAGTATGTAGTTGCCAAGAACATGCAACAATGCTAACTTCACCGCATCAAATGGTTGCATGTCTTCTCTTCTATTATTAATGGATTCAAATGCTTGCCGTAGGTCTCCCCGGTCAAGACTTGTCTTTCCACTAAAGTGCCTCCTCCACAGTTCCCCGTCGCAACGAGTACTCATAGCTGGTATGTTCCTCCCAAACTCAAATCCTGTTATCAAGGCTAGGTCTTTTTTCTTCATTCCTACTACTCTTTCTCCAATTTGAAACTGAATTTCATTCATAACAGTCATCTCTTCCACAGGTGCGACATGATTTCCTATCAGCATGGATATCAGTTGTGCATTTAACCATTTCAGATTTCCTACATCTAACATGTATCCAAATACGGTCTCCCTAAACAGTTTCACTTCTTCTTCAGTCAATACACTCTTAATACTTTCAACAGCCTTCACTGGATTGCAGAAACTACTAACTCTCATGTCGTCTCTTGTCTCCAGAACTTCAGCATTACAGTAGCGCTTATATGCCTAGGACAATATACATAATACAAGTTAACACCTCCAATAATGACACCACAATATGTTTTTTGCATTACTTAATATAATTAAAGATCCTCAATAACTGCATATCATGTTTTCATTCTTACTGCAGGTTCCAAGTAACACCACACCACATGCAACGATATATCACACTAAAATAAATAATAGAATTCAATGCACTAATTTACTTAGTTTTCAACTTCCTCAATGCACAAATGTAGTTAGCTCAGTTAACAATTTCAACAAAAAAACACTTCAATTACATGCAGTGAAAACCGTATTTCCAAATGAGTCAACTACAAAGACACTCTACCTAGATTTAAATCACATATAGAATTCTATCTGATTCACTGCACAGAGTACTCAGTAAATATTAAAAATATTGCATACCATAATACATTCAACAAATACACGCATTTAGTTTGATCTATCACACTAAAACACTATTTTAATCCACATTTCAATGCACACAATTACTTTTCTGAATTTGAAAATTTAAACAACCAAAAACTAGATTAAGTGTAGTGAATCTTATATTTCAATTTGCATTTCCAAATTACTCAACAACACACCAACTAAACAACAACAATATACACTCATTTTCAAACAACATCAATGCATGCATTCAAGTCTCATATGTAATGAATTCGCTAACAGAAATGTTCGTCAAAACATTGCATTGAAGCATTAATATGTAATTACTTCACGAACACAAAAAAAAAATAATAAAAACTAACCACGCCGTTGATTTTGACGATTTCGTAGTCCAATTCATCGCTGTTTCGTCGAGAGTTCCCTTTTTTCTTCACCATCGTTCGTCTTCCTTCTTCCTCTCTGCAGCTTATGAGTTCCGGATGTCGTTTCTACCAATTCTCCTTCATCGCTCTCATTAACTGAAGGTAGTTTTAGCATTTAACTCCTTCCATAATTTGAACTCTGAAAAAAACCGCTCAGCCGAATTTTTGCTCTGCCCGATGGCTTCTCGTAGATCCTCAATGCACGTTTTGTTTCCTTTTTGGGGGGTATTTTCGTACTTTAATAATACCGAATAAACCTGGCCGTTTTTTTTTCCATTTTTTTGTCATTGGACCGACTAAAAACATGTCAGGTCATAGTTTAAGAATTGTATCGAGTTTTGGTAATATGTGGGTAAATTTCCCTAATAGGAACCATCTCACATTTAGCATATAAAATTTTAACAAAACAAATCATAAGAAAAGAATTGTGATTGCTTAAAGAATTTTGGTGGAATGTGAGTGGCTAATGTTTAGAGGTACGAAGCACATAGACTGAAAATCAGAACTACTTCTGTGCTCATCGAACTTATGGACCTAGAAATCATGATATTTCAATATAAGGGAAATATTTTATATGTAAATCTGATTATGGATAGCCGTATACCAGCAATTTCAGAAAAATTTGAGCTGTAAGCTTAAAGGACTATGCCCAGGAAAAAGGAAGCATGGAAGCATTCCTTATAATCCAATACAAGAAATATGCCCATTACAGTTGCTATAAACAGACGGTTGAAACTAAACTTACCACAGACAAGAGTTTTGCTACAAGGCTGAGGTGAGTTGATGAACTTCAGTAGCCTACATGGGAACATTTTGGGAGGAGGAAAAATACGAACTACCAGGGTGGAGGCCGTGGACGATGGCAGACTAGTATTCGGCTCTTGGAATAGAAGGAGGTTGGCTTCTCTAGGGATTTAGTTTGGGCTAAAATTGATTTGGGCTCCAAATACTCTTTTAAAAAAATGCTTTTGCCCGAGCTTAAAATAATAGTACTATTCTCTCTTTCAAGATAAACTGATAAAGCTTTAAAGCATTATTATTTCTTCACTTAAAATTATTAGAGCTTACCGGTCAACGTTACCTGCCAGAACAACACATGATCAAACAATATATCACATTATTCATAATATATACTTATTGAATTGACTTAATAAAATAACTGCTTAATGTTACTAGATCGCTAAAATCGGGGTGTTACAATCGTGTCGCTCACGAGCTTGCTCGAGTAGCCGTTTCTTTGTCTGATAGCAAAATTTGGATATCTTCTCCTCCTAGTTGTATCCTTGTAGCTCTAAACCATGATTTGATTAATATGACATAAGTTTATTGTTTGCAAAAAAACTAAAATGACTAATAAATCGAAATGGTCAACTTTTAAACATGATGCGATAACTTTTTAAAATGGAATTTCCTTTATGTTTTACAGCCTATTAGCTCAACAGGAAGAGCATCGTGTGACTACACGAAAGATGTGAGTTCGAATCCCACGTAGACTATCTTAACAAGGTGGATTGATGATTTACTTTTATTTTTTTCCAAACTTTAATTTCATGCATGTAGATGCTCCATTTATTTGAAGTGTAGAATCTAATACATCATGTATATGCCTTGGTTAGAGTTGTGTCATTTTAAGTTGGGCATATGATGATAGCCATTAATCCAGATGATCTTAGTTGAATAAGAGGTATCATATCCCAGCTCTTACTTAATAGCCTATTTTAACCAAATTTCATTCTTTTATTCCTGTTCATTGCCTCTATTACTTTTTTTCTAAATTATTTATTTAGTTGTACTGGATTTTATCATATGTTTTGAATATGAAAAAATACAACAACAGCAGTCATTTTAGCCAAATACCCCTCTACTTAATTGGGCTCTAAGTAGTTGACTTGCTTTGAAAAAAAACAGTTGATTCACTTATTACACTGAAATGGTTTTGTGTTTAAAGAAAAATCTGCTCACAAATAAATATTCAATAATCTGGCAATCCAATCACAACTCAACTGCAAAATATCCATCCAATGCTTCTTAGAGATGATGGTGACAGAACTATGAAGGTTTCTCATAACTGTTTGAATCTCTAAACTCTGAAATGGCACTGCGAATCATTCCTCCTACATCTGACCGAACAAAAAGATGGGCGTTGTCCAAGACGTGTAATATGAACATCTGTGATTGAGGCAGTGAGCTATTCATGTTGATAATGAACTGTGCCATGGGGTATGGACAATCCTTTGACTGCACTCACCATGATGTCTCCAAGATTTTCAGACTTCAGGCGGACTTGATAGCTAACAGAAATAGGCGTTGAGAATGTATGGATCTGAAAGCTTTGTGCCTTCCTTGAACAGCTTCATTACTAACAATTCACTCGCTTGTCCTGACAACGAACGCAGGCGGAGCATGGCCAGGCCTCGATTCCCAGCATTCATTGCCTTTGTTACTTTGAGTTCTTTTCCAGAAGCTTCAATTGTGCTGCAGTCCCACACCTTCATCTTGTCTTGAACATTCACCTTGTCTTGTAATAGTCCGCAAAGTAGGCTATGCGGGGCTCGAACCCGCACCTTCATGCAAATATGCACATTGCTCTACCAGTTGAGCTAATAACCTTGATATAAACATTGTGTGAAAGCTAAATTAAAACTTGGGCATCAATATTAGCAGCTTAGAGCCAACTAAAGACCAAATAATCAAGACAAATATGAAGTAGCAAAAAAACCAAAATATAATTTTAAACAAGTCAAAATATGCAATGCTCCCTTGTTAAAGAAAAAGAATCAGGAATGGTAGTTCAACTTTATAATTCCAAACTGCAAACAACTTTCCACCCATTATGTTTTCCATCCTAAATGGAGACTTTATAAAAGTAAAACAAAAACACAATATCCCAGATTTGTATCTCTCATAAGTAAAATTAGGACAACCAAAGATTGAACCATTATTTCAACAATCATTACAATAAAAATCAAATGACAACGACTCGGTATATGCTAAATCGCGGTCAAAATAATTCAATTCATAAAGTTCCAAGATATATCCTCAAATCTTTCACGTGACCGAGATATAAAATCTGAGGCTGGCAACTCAATTAATTCACAAGTACACCAATTTACTTTAAATACAAATTAATGGATAACTGATAACCTAGTTAAACTCCAAAGCAAGAAACAGTTTAACTCAGGAGTATTAAAATTGGCTAGAATTAATTTTAACAGTGTTCAACTCATACGTTCATATAGTCCGAAATTGACTACCAATATACTCTTAAATGGGGTTTATTTATATTTTTACCATTGAAATATTATAACAAACACTGAGTAGGTATATGTAAATTCACCAGCTTAACAAATGACTATATCATTTAAAACAATGCAATCTCAAAACAGAATGGGCTAGAGGTTAAAGTCGTTTCTGAATTTGAAGGGTAAAAAATTTACAAAAAAAAACCTTCCCACCGTCGATCTGTGTAGCTAGAGTTCCTCAGTGATTATTCATGTTGTCTGGCGTACTACATGAAAATTCAGATTGAGCATCTACACATCCTGCCTAGAGATGACTACAATCACCGCAGTGTTTAAAAGAATGAAGCGAAAAAATCATACTCTTGATGGAATTGTAAAAAGACCTTGGATTTGTAATAGCTTGAATAATTGTTGGAACATAGAAATAGACTAATCCATGGTGGAGAGACGGAGAATCCATGATTGAGGCCTGAGAGCTGAGCTTGAAGGATAAACATAGTTACAAAAGTTCTAATTGGAACTTCCATTGAAGGAGGTTTTACAAATGAAAACGGAGGTTTATGGAAGGAGGGCTAAGATTTGCGTAAACATAAGATAAGAGAAGGTTTAAAGTTGCTTTTAATTTCAAAAATACCATTAATGAATAAGGGAACATTGAACGCATCGGGTGATGCAGATGGCCTTGGGTGCGGAGATCCAATGGTGTATATCACTTCTCATTTTTCAGTTTAAGAGCTACTTCTCATGAGATCTTTTCTCTCTCTCTCTCTCTATATATATATATATATATTGCTCTTAGGCTGAGATTTGCGAAGTTAAACTTATAGACTGAATATATGAATTTTTAACTAATAAATCATAACTTATAGACCCCTCGAAAATAATTACGAAAATGCCACCGCAAAAAAATAATTACGGAAACCTAGAATTTTTTTTGACGCGGTGACATATTCGTAATTATTATGGAGAGCTTTATAAGTTATGATTTATTGGTTATAAGTTCTTATATTTAGTCTATACGTTTACTGCGTTGTAAGATCAGATGCAAATCCAAGGGCTAAGATTACTACTCACTTCTCATTTTAAGCGGCACTTCTCACCTGATCTTTTCCCAATATATATAGACAGTAGAAACCAGCCGTGACAGTTGTCTTTCCATTTTCTTATTCCAAAGCAGTGATAATTAATATTAATATTAATAGTACTACATAATTAAACCAACCATAACGTAAAATGATATTTTGTGATTATTATCCTACCATAACTAAGTGCATGCAAAGTAATCCCACTTAACAACTAGTGTGTTTAGTATCTAGATTTAAAGAAAACTGCTCTCGGTTTCGGCATAGGGTTTTGTCCGGCAGCGAGCTTTCTTGGCTAGCCACCGCGTCTTTTATTTGTTGGACGGGTTTTTGTCTGGCGGTGAGCTTTCTTGGCTAGCCACCGCGTCGTTTATTTGTTGGAGGGCTTTTTTCGTTTGAAGTATTGACGGACAACAAGGTGAAGGTTTCGGTCTGCTTCGAATTGGGCGTGTTGCTTGAAGACTTTTGCGACAACTGCATAAGCCGCTTCGTCGGCAGATATGGAGATGGAAAAAAGTTTTGGATTTTCGTTTGATTTGTCTCTTTTCGGTCTGGGAAGCCTTGTGGACAAATACAAGATGATGGCGACTGGCGCTGAGAAAGAAAAATTGGATCTGAATAAAGCTGATGTTGGAGTTGTGGCGAATGAACGGCGGGCGCATCCCCCTCCTAAGCCGCCGCCGTGGACTGCAAGCAAAGCTAGGGTTCGGAAGAAGATGAGTGGATTCTATTTTAATTTCATTTTATTCAGTTTGTGCTTTTCTGTCGAATTGTATGTTGTTTGGTTCTGTTTTGGTATTTGTTCTTCCGTTTATTTTCCAGTTTGTAAGACGTTGATTTTGGATTTGGGGGATGACAGGAATTTGGTAACCGAGTTAGGTTTTTTGTTTCCCGGTTATGGATCAGCGAATTATATTGCTACGGCGATTAATTCCGAGTCTAGTTCGAGGGATGGCGGTTACCAATTTTCTTTTTGTCAATTGACTCATACTCTGAACTTTTATTGGTTATTTATCTAAGCCGATTTCTGTAAAAAAAAAACTAAGTGCATGCATATATATGACCTGGTGAACACGAGTTGACACAAAAACTAATATTAGGTGAACAGATGATTCTCTTAACATGTAAATAGTTATAGTATTTTCAATGGAATTAAGAAAAACGTAAGGTAAATAATAGCAGGAGTGGTGAATAATGTAAAAAAATGTAAAAAAAAAAATGGAGAGTGTACCAAAAAAAGTATGAAAGAAAATATGAAAAGGTAGGAAAAAGAAAATTAAGATAAGACATTCCAGATATCCACGGGGTACTAATATGGTTCCAAAGAGTTCTGATTCATATATATGGAAGAGAATTTGTGCTACACATGATTTAGGAATCACACTTATTTCAGAAGGAAGCAATGGAGAGATTATTTGGCTACCTGAAAATAAGGGGCTTTTTACTCTGGCTTCTGCTTTCAAGGTGATTAGATGGTGCAGAGCTGAGACCTTCTTTTTTAAACATTCCTGGCACACCAAGCAATACAATAAGATCCAATTATTCCAATGGAAGCTTTTACACAGGATCCAGCCATTTCCAGAAAATATGATTAGATTCAATCTTACAATCTTCCATTTTGTAAGAGGGATTCTATTCATATGGATCATATTTTATTCAATTGCTCCCAGGTCAGGGGTGTTTGGGAATACTTTATGGGAATTTTTGAAATCCCTTATCCGGCTGGTCCTATCTCTATCAGGCAGGTTCTTATTTTGTGGTGGTTGGAAGCTGGTTATAAATCGATTTGGGATATATTTAAACACAACATGGCAGGAATCATTGCTTGGCACCTATGGAAGATATATTGTCAAATGGTTTGGGGAGATTTACAGAATATACCAACCAATCGAGCTGTTATCCAACAAGTTAAACATTTTACTCAAGATTGGGTTGTTGCTAAGCTAAGCACGATTCGGTCTGTAGATGTTAATTCGTTTTTATACGAAGAGGGACTTATACCTGAAAATTTTAGGTGTCCCGCCTTCATCTTGTTAAGTGGAAGCCTCCTGTCCTTGATCTGAAGATGAACGTTGATGCCTCCTTCAGTTCGAATGGCGCAGCAGGTGGAGCGGTGGTGCGAGACCAGGCTGGAAAGTTCCTCTTTGCTCTCCATTTTCCTATATCGGCCAGATCTGCTTTAGATGCTGAGGTTGTTGCGCTTTTTGTATCAGTGAGCTGGGCGATTCAGCATGGTTATCGAAGACTTGAAGTGGAATCAGACTCCAGCGAAGCTATAGAAGCGATTGCTTTTGGGAATAATTTTGGGGGGAGAAAAGATATGGTGGACGAGATGAGGAAATGGAAAGTTACTGGTGTTGTTCAGTTCGGACATATACTGAGGGAAGGAAACTGGCCTGCTCATTTCTTATCCAGATGCAATTCACATAAATTTAATGTTATTGACAAATATGTGGACATTCCTTGCCATATTAGGAAAGCCTTGCTCACAGATAAACTTGGTCTTAATTATTTTAGATTTTATTAATTCTGTTGTATTTTCCATTGGGTCAGGTTTAGCCCCCCAATGAAGTCATTATCTTTTTGTTCTCGTTTTTATTTGTCCATGTATTTGAAAGAGGTATGCCTCTTTCGGAGAGGTTTTGGTTTGGTCCCCTCTCTATTTGTATCTTTGACTGGTTTTTAATAAAATGTGGCAAATGTTCCCCGGCATTTGCCCCACCGACATAGGTGGTTTGTCTTCCGGGTTTAAAAAAAGAAAAAAAAGGCTAAAGAGTCAAATAGATACATGAACTAACTTAAAGTGTTCAATTAGCCCCTTATATAGGAGGTTCTGCCCGGCCGTCGCCAATTGGGGCGGTTCCCGGTGGAATTTTTTGATGAAATTTTTTGAACATCTTCTTCATTAAGTCTAGTTTACCCATACCAAACTTCAGCTAAACATTCAACATGAAAGGCAGTCAAATCATTTTTTGAAGATAATTGTGCAGTTAAACAGCGCAGTACATTTTGGAAACTCATTTGACTGCCTTCCCGATTTAATTTTTAGCTGAAATTTGGTATGGGTAAACTAGGCTTAATGAAGAACATGCTCAAAAAATTTCATCAAAAAATTCTACCGGGAACTGCCCCAATATGCGACGGCCGGGCAGAACCTCCTATATAAGGGGTTAATTGAAAAAAGAAGAAAAAAAATAAGATAAGAGAATATGAAAAAGGTATTCAAATATACCAAATATAAAAATATCTTCTCCATAGAGCATTTTTATCTTTATATATAAAGATGTTGAGGCAAAATTTCCGCCTAAGAGCATCTTCAATAGTAAAATGTGCACAGTGCACACGTGGAACGAGAAATAGCCACATAAATATTAGTAAATAAATTTTTTCTCTCCTTATTTGAATGATTTTATACAGTTTTGGTAAGTTTTTCTCCACAATGTCAAGGAGACCGTCTAAATGTTGACATTGTTGTTGACATTGCAGGTAAAAACTTATCAAAATTGTATAAAATCATTCAAATAAGGAGATAAATAATTTATTTGTTAATATTTATGTGGTTATCACTCATGCCACATGTGCACCGTGCACATTATAACATTGGAGATGCTCTAATGAAGGACAAACCTGTAAATTAATATGACAACAAATAAATTTCGGCCACTCTAGCATAGGTTTCCATTTTTTTGACTTGAATACACTTAGAAGGAAAATATGAAAGATTTGTCATCGAAATTATAGTGAAGTTAATGCTAATTTAAACAAGAATGAATTCTCATATATAGAGTTATGGCCGACTAATTTACACATTGCTTTTTATATTGAGATAATTATCCTACGTATGACTAAAACTTAATGAGTTTCTCAATCTATGACCTAACTAGTTTTTTTCCCAAAATAATATTAATATTTATAATATTTAATTAAAATTCGTAATTAATAAATAATAAATAATTTTTATGGACAAATATACCCTTTAGCTTATACCTATAAAACCTTAACCTTCCATCCATTTTCATCAACCCTAGCCACAACCTCCAAACGCGCACCCCGCCACCCGCGAAGCCACCCTGCCGTCAGCCCGCCATCTAGCCACCGCCCACCTTCCAGCATCGCTTTCTTCCACAGAATACCGGCATGTGAGCACAGTCGCCGATCTAGAACTCCGGCCTGAAGCAAGTGTCCGCCCGACCTGAGTGCCAAGACGTTGTTCGATGTCGATCTGCCGCCCGCCGCCCAGCCGCCGATTACCATCCAACCTCCGTTCACAGACGAGCCATCCCAGAGCTTCCTCTCCATCTCCGGCGTGGCAAACTTGCCTTGCAGAGTTGTGCGACGCAGTCCAGATCTGGCAATCGAGCAGTGCATATCCGCACCAATTTGAGGAAAAAAGATAAAACTTACTGCGTGTGGATCTGCTTTAAAAGAGAGAGGATGGGTCGATTTAGACTTTAGGTTCAATTCCCTTAGCTTCCACTGCGTAGGTACTAGGATCTGGTTTTCGTAAATGGGTATAATAAAGTTAGAAAATCTAATTTTGCATAATACGGAGTACTATATCTTTATACTCTATATTACAAAATTGGCTCCTAAATGAATCACTTTTCTTGTTTTCGGGTCTCATTCAATAATCCATTTTCTCAATTCTGAATTGTGCAATTTTGTTTCAAAAGTTCAGTCTTTCTTCTTGTTGCTCAGATAAGATCTTCTGAAGAAAGTTCGTTGAATTTAGAGTTTGTGAGCGTTAAACATCAGCATTGAATATTGGCAGTGAATATTGGCAGTGAATATATATATTGTACATTACAGTGAATGAATTGCATTAATGAAGTTTCTTGGAACAATAGTGCAGTAACGCAGATCAGTAATGCCATCGTTAAATACAATATACTTAATTATACGTAAAATAATAAAATTGTTAAATCTAAAAAATAAATAATGAAATCTATAAATAAAATTTCTAAAGTGTGAAAAGAGAATTAATTTTGGCGGAAATGCAGTGATAGTTACCAGATGTGCAGTAAAGTCGTGCATTAAAATCGTGCAGTAACAGCAATATAAAGTGCATTAATTTTAATTAGGCGAAATTAGGGTAAAATGCATCTTTTTTTAAATAAGGGTATTTTCGTCATTCAACCATTTAATATAAACGAATTTCTTTTCTTTTTTTTGGATTTTTGGTCATACTAAAGTTTAAAAACTAGTTAGGTCATAGATTGAGAAACTCATTGAGTTTTAGTAATATGCTAGGAAATTTCCCTTTTATATTAATATTTCAATACAAATACAAAGCTCATATTTTGATAATAGTGTTGGGGGCGTTGAGCAATTAATTAAAGAGAAAATTCTCTAAATAGGAGTAAAAACGTTTTGAAATTCCAAAATAAGACTATCTTGTTTTTTTATTTCCTTGAATATGAGTAAATTTCTGCCAAGTTTGGCATTACTAGGCTTTAAACATGACAATTTTTTTCCCAAACTTGACAGATTACTCCTATTCAGGGAATAAAAAACATGATAGTCCTATTTTAGAATTTCAAAACGTTTTTACCCCTATTAAGGGCCATTTCAATTAATCAAAACAACATTTTTATATACAAACTACTCCCTCTGTCCCGCTAACAATGGGACAAGAGGGAGTGACACGCAAATTAATAAAAAGTGATGTATGTGGTTGATATTGAATCGATAAAGTAAGAATAAAGTAAGATAAAAATTATTTGCCTTTTCTCTCTCTAGGGTTTGATTCGGCCGCCCAGGGTAGTTTTCTTCTTCCCGATTCCTCTTCGCCTCTCACCCGTATCGGCAAGGCAGAGACGAGGACGGAGTTTTGGTTTTGCTGGGGTAAGATCGGTTGTTGATCGGTGACAAGCGAAGGGCCCGGGTGGAGATTTGGCTTTGATAGGCGATGGGGTCGAGCGGAGTTCCAGCAGGTTGGACAGGGGTTGCAAGTGTTTTTCTAATCCATAGAGGAGGTGCTGGAACAATACAAAAAGAAGGCTTTGGAGGAGAATAAAAGCATTCTCAACTTTGATGATGAGGAGGAAGAGGTTCTTGATCCTGCTGCAAAAGGGGCAGAATACCCGGTGGTGGGCGTAATTCTCACGGATCGGAGGGTGAGGTTCCAGGCTGTGCAGAACCTATTTGCCTCAATCTGGAGGCCAGGCAGAGGAATGGAAGTCCAAGAAATTGATGACAAGAGGTATTTATTCACATTTTACCATATAGTTGATATGAATCATGTCATGGAGGATGGTCCTTGGCTGTTTGAGAGGAATTTGTTATTGCTAAATGATGGTCCCGGATAGAGGTAAAAGTCTAGGGGGGTGAATAGACTTTTAAAGCTTTTTAAACTTTGAAACACTTTTCCCTCTAGATGGGTTGATCTATAATCTTTTGAGAGATTAATAGATGCACAGCGGAAGTCTTTAACCTCTTTATACTTGGTGTGAGATAACTTTCTAGTTTAGATGGTGTTTAGACTGGTTATGAGAGGAAGTAGGCTTGGCAGTTGACTGGTGAGAAGGTCACTGCTTAGGCTACTGCTGCACAGACAGTTTGCTGGCTAGCAGGCAACTGCTGAGTTGGCAGTTGGCTGAAGGACAGGTTACTGCTGAGGCAACTGCTGAGGAACTGGATGACTCTTGGATGGCTTTTTGTTCTGGCTTGTTATGGGGTTTGGAAAGATACGTATGGATTGGCAGTGGTCTCAGCAGGAGGGTGAAGACCAGGGTACTGCTGAGGCACCTTCTGAGTTTAAGACAACTTCTAGTGGAAAACACTCTCAAGGAGAGTGAGTTATTAAGCAGTAGGCTAAGCAGTAGAGTCGATGAAGACTGCTGCTTAGGATGCTGCTGGCAAACTACAAACCTTTAGTGAGATGTGTTTGGTGTGTGTTCTGTATGTATGAAAGTAAATCAACACACCATGTATCCTGGTTCAGAGGTGGTGTAATCCTCCTACATCCAGTCCACTTCTCTTTCAAATGGATTTCCACTAAAGTATTCAGCCCAATACAATTAGTGCCAATCTAGCCTTGACAACTCTGGCCTAGATTGAAGGCGTTTCACGAGGAGTATAACACCACTCCAAGTTACTCAAACCTTAAGACTTTTCTCAATTGATCCAGTGGGGATCAAAAGGTACTCTATCTATCTAACCACACTATAGGATCCGAACAACTGTTCTCCTAAGTGTTTACAACAACATGAATTGATTCACGAAGTTTCCTACCGCCAACTAAAATCTAAGCTCTATAAATATTACAATGAATGATCTAGTCTAAGAGCTTAGTGAAGCATGAGTCAAAGCAGAGTGTTCAAGCACTTTTTCTTTTGCTGGATATGCGTAGTGTAATGACTGAACCACTTGCTTTGAACTCAATGACTTGCTTTTGATCTCATGCTTCTGCCTATTTTTATAGGCATCTCCAGTAGATTAATCTCCTCCGTTGGTTAAGAGGATTTAATCCTAGACGTCCAAAGTATTGTACTTGCGTCTTCTTGTGTTGGAGCAGGATAAGGATTTGTCTTTTGAAGGCCACTTGCTTTGTACGAAGATAACACCCATACCTTAGGCCTTCTTATCGCTGCATGCCTATTCTGAAACTCTTCACTATTCACCTATTCTGATGTCTTCTCTGCTCTTGTTTTCTGAGTGTATTGGCCTTGTCTTGCAACTACACTTGTGAAGCTGAGTGCGTGAACCTGCTCAAGTAGTGAAGTAGTAAAATGTGTGACTTAGAATATTTTGTATCAAATAAATTTTGTACTGATAGGATCTTTGAAATATCCTATTAAGGTAATAAGATTACCTTATTGCATTTTGTTCTTTCCAGTACAATTTATTTGGTACAAATTTCACAGTAAAATTTGTCACTTATTTTACTAATCACTTTCTTTCTTTAAGTGACATGATTAAACTTATGCACCAAATTAAAGCTATACTGGTTGGATCTAAATATCCATCTAAGGTAAATAATTTTTACCTTATTGCATTTTATAGTTCCAGTATGTTTAATCTGATACATAGTTTGTACATTGGAATTCTTGTCACATTTAAGCACTAATGCACGAATTAACTTAGACACAAAATACTAGTGCAAAGTATAGTGGCATCATCAAAATCATCATAGTTGGGTCCTAACAATTTCCCCCATTTTGATGATGCCAAAACTATACAACACAAGAAAGAGAATATTTGATTTTTATGAGAATATTGTACATTGGTCAATAGTCTAAAGTACAGTAGTTTTTAGTCACTTTCGGACTCATTTAGAAGTCTATTCTTGTTGGCTTCCTCCAACTTCTTCTTTGCTTCTGCTTCTTTAGCTTTCCTTTGTCTGATCGCCGCTTCTTCTTGGAGGAGCTTGTTCTTTCTCCTGGTTTCTGCCGCTTTCTTGGCTGCTAGTGATTTTGTAGAGGAGGGGCTTGCTTGTGTTGATCTTTCCCCCCTTTTTGGCAGCATGAGCAGTGGACTGGCTTTCTTGAAATAGAGCTTCTATCTCTGGATCAGAGTCAACTTCTACTTGTCTTCTTTTTGGGCGAAGATCACTGACTTCAACTGCTACTGCATTTATAATGTTTCGTAGATCCATGACATCCACTTTGACATCTTCTTTGACTACTCGGTCCAATTTTTCAAGATTTTGATCAATTTTCTTAAGTTCATTTCCTTGTTTGAGGAAAGCCTCTTGAGTAGCTTTGTGGAGATTGGTGAGATGCTTTTCAACATCAGCTCTTGTTTGACCAATTGCTTCAGAATGTTCTACCTGCTTTGTAACTACGTTCTGAGAGAGTTGAAGGATGGCAGGCAGTTCCTTGGTTTTGAGAAGTTGTATGAACTCCTCATGTGCTTGAATTGTTTGAAGCGCCTGATCAAGATTAGTGGGTAAAGAAGTTATATGAGCAGAGGAGCCTGCGGCTTGTGAAGAGACTGTTGCTGTAGTAAGAGGATATTGATGTCTTTGAAATGTGAGCAGTTGACTGGCCAATTCATCATTTCTTGCTTTGAGTGCCTCAAGTTCTTGTTTGATTTCTGCAGTCACAGCTTCGTGTTGTGAGGTCTTGACTTTGAGGAGAGCCCTCTGCTCAGCATTGAAGACCTGCTGGATCATGAGGTCATTCCTGATATGCCTGTGGACTTCCTCAAACCTGACATCAAGTCTTTCTTTCATCTGCTTCTGCATTTTGATGAGCCTTTTATGTAGTCTGACCTCTGCTCTGCTAATGAATTTGATAGAAGCTCCCCTTTCCTGAACGAAGAGATTGGCTAGGGATATTGGATCTTCTTCTTTATCAGCTTCTTCTTCGAGACTTGCAGTGGATTGATCAGTAGCCTGAGCAGTGTTCTGAGCCAAGGGTGGATGCGTGATCAGGATGGCAGTTGGCTGCTTGCTCGTTCCTTTGGATGACTCTCCACCTCCTCTTGTTTCATACTTGGATTTCTCAAAAACCTCTTGTAATACTTTGTCACTAGAGGATGTAGAGGAGGAGATGATTTTCTTACATTTGTATTGAGGTGAAGGTTGAGGTTGATCTCCTAGATCACTATCATCAAGATCATCATCATCATCATCATCCATATTATCTGAGTCAACATCTTGAATAGATGACTTCCCTAGCAGGTGGCTCCTTTTGGTGCTGTAGACCAGGTTTACATAATGGAGTTTTGTGGCATTTGCAAGATCTTCAGTCTGAAGCCAATTTAGAGCAAAGATTTCTTCATCAATGAAGTCAGGAAGAGTCTCGGCTTGTTGAAGAATAGGAGATAACTTCCATTTTCTCCACTCTTTTACTCTGGCCCATTA